CTGCAAGGAGTTTCCCGACCTCCTCGTCGACTGCCCTCCATCGCTCTGGGGTTAGGTTGCGCTTCTTTTGTCTAATGGGCCTAACTGAAAGATCAATGTTAAGTTTGTGAGTGATAATGTTTGGGTCTATGCCGGGCATTTCTTCCGCCATCCACGCGAAAACATCTAAATTTTCGAGTAAGAAGCTTACTAGCTGAGACCGTAGGGGCTCCTTGACAGAAGCGCCGATCTGAAGTGCCCATGCCGGATCGTCCGTCGAGGTCGGGACGGATGGCCTCTTCAATAGATGTGGCCCGCTTTGTGAACTGCTCTGCTGGTCGTCCCAGCTCAAGGTCGTCAGCTACCTTGGCCTTTCCTATGAGGGCGGCTACATAGCATTTGCGGGATTCAAGCTGATCGCCCCGCGCCACTCCGACTCTGAAACCTGTTGGGAACTTCATCGCTAGGTGGTTGGTGGAGACTACTGCTTGTAGGACGTGGGTGATGGGTCGGCCCACTATCGCGTTGTATGGAGAGGGGGTTGCAACCACCAGGAACTCGTGATTGAGCCTTACCATACTGGGCCAAGTACCGACCTCCACCGGCATAGTGACTTTCCCTAACGGCTTGACCTCCTCGCTGTTGAATCCCACTAGTGGAGTGCTTGAGGGCTTCAGGTCACCCTCTGGGATCTGAAGCTGATCAAAGGCTGCCTTGAAAAGGATGTCTGCCGAACTGCCCGAATCTACCAAGACACACTTGACTTCGAAGTCGTTGACCTTGATCTTGATGACGAGCGCGTCATCGTGGGGGTAGTGGACTCCTCGCGCGTCGTCTTCAGTGAAGAAGATCGACTCCTTCACCCTTGGCCGCTTCGGGGGGTTTAACACCTCTCTGGTGGTTTCGCGGGCTGATGACCGAGCTGCTGCCGAGGTGCAGCCCGCGACAATTGATCCCCCCACGATTACGTGGATGGTTCCACGGACTAGTCTCTCGTTTGGAGGTTGTCTCTACAGTTGCTCCGCCTGTCTGCTGGACTCGGGGGTTTCTTTATTCTGCCCCCCGTGCTGAACTGCTTTATTATTATTATTATTGTTATTATTATTGCCATGCAGTACAAAATTTCTCAAATATCCGCGATGGATGAGCTCTTCTATCTCATCGGGGAGGTTATTACAATTTTCGGTGCTGTGAACGTGATCTCTATGGAAACTACAGTACAAGTTCTTGTTCCTAACATTAGGATCGACCTTGAGCCGAGGTGGCCACTTTACATACGGGGCGTCCTTGATCGTCATGAGGATCTCTGCCCGCTTTGTGTTGAGGGGTGTAAACACCCTTTCTATTGCTGAAGCTCGGAAAGGCTGAATCAGGCTCACCCCCCGGGCTTGATCCTTCTTCTTCTTGTAGTCGTTAGGAGCCGGGGGTTCTGGTTCCCTCCTCCTTTTTTTGGGGGCGTGCTCGCCCTTCTGGTTGATCTCTTCCTCTGTCCCTATGAACCGATCTGCCAGTTCGAGGAACTCGGTCACGGTCTTGGGTTGGTTGACAACCACGTGCCATCTAAACTCCTTATGGGTGATGCCCCGCTTGGTCGCAGTGAGCCGAACTGCAGGGTCTAGGTCGGGTATCTACAGGCAAGCGTCATTAAACCGTTTGATATAGTTCCGGATGGATTCCCCATCTCTCTAGACTATGCTGAGGAGGCTTTCTTGGGTCCTTGGGCATCTCTTGCTAGTGACGAAGTGGGAGGTGAAGACCTTCACGAACTACACCCAGCTCCTTACTGAGCCCGAAGAGAGGTTTTGGTACCAAGTGCGGGCCACCCCTTTGAATGTAGTAGAGAAGGCCACACACATGCAAGATTCACTTGCCCTGGCCAGATGCATCTGGGACTGGAAGGCGTCGACATGGTCGTTGGGGTCGAAGGACCCATCATATTTGTCCAACGGTGGGAGCTTGAAGTCTTTGGACATGGGGACCGCAAGGAGCTCTGGGGACAGAGGAGAGGGGACCGAGAGAAGTGGTGCGACTCTTACATCTCCCGAGCTTATTTCTATTTTGCCCTTGAGCTCGGGAAGGTTGTGGACGGTGGTGGTTCGGCGAGCTCGGCGATGTCTTCGCTGCTTCTTGGCCGGATCGGCGTTGGTGGTGCTGGCATCTGTATTACTGAGCTTGATGGGCCCAGGGGGAGGCAGGGACGACTACCGGTAGCTGCGGATAGAAGGACCTTATTCCAGGTCGTCAGCTAGCACCTCAAACCTGTTCCCTGCGAGCAGAGGCTCGAACTGCGAGTGCTGGGGTGACGCCGACCTAACCGGCTGGGAGGCCGCTTCGGGGGTAGGGAGTCTTCCCTTCCTTCCGTGAGATGATGCCGAAGTGTCTCCCCAACGGGAAGGGAGTTCACTGCGGCGTTGAGTTTTAGCTGGCGGCACCGCCGGATGCCGGGGAGGGAGTGACGGGAACTGTTGCTGGTATTGGTATTGGGATACTTGGTGCAACACTTGCTGCTGGTGAGACTGGAGCTGTTGAAACTGTTGCATCTGGGTCTGCATGGTCCGCATGCACTGCATCAAGTCTTCGAGTCGGCCTTGGCCGACCACCGGAGGGAGAATGGTGGATTCGGCGAAGGTCATCCCGACTGCAGGGGCAGCGGGACAGTTACGGGTGCCACCGTTGCAGGCATGTTCAGGCTAGGAACCCCGTCCACCGAGAGGGGGACGGTGAACTGTCCGATGCAAACGGTGGGCATTTGGAGCTACTCCTCTGGGGTGTTCCTGTGTTCGGAGTTGCTAGAAGAAGCCATGGACGTTGGTGAGTAAGAAAGAGAAGTTTCGTAGAGGTTAGAGGGAGGCTTTTCGAAGCGTTTTCCCACAAACGACGCCAAATGATGCTGCACGATTTGGGCACTCCTAGCTGGCTGTGACCTGGCTTCTGACTGGAATGAACGACACCTGAGAGGAAGGAGGAAGTGAAGGGTTCCCGGGGAGATATCCCGGTGGGAACACTCCGATGGCTAAGTTAGAACTGAAGGAAATCTCAAAGAGAGTAGAGAGTAAGAGTGCTCCAAGCGCTTAAGCTTCAATACCTTTTCTCTGTGTGGGTTCGAGTTCTTTTATGTTGGAGTCAGGTCATACCTGGCATAACCGCCCTCGCCCTTGCAGTTACTGCCAGGGCAGGTGTGGCAGGCGCAGGTTGCCGCCACAAATTGCCATTGCCAGGTACGGGATTGACAGACGTGTCATGCCCTCTAGAGGAGGCAAACAGAACGCCGCCTGGCAAGGGATCAAAGCCCTGCCACTGGGTTCGGTGGGTACGGATGTCAGACAGGGCTCCCCACAGCTTACTAAGCTACCACACACCAGACTGTTTGGGGTAGGTTTGTCCTTGTACCGAGGTGCCGAGGTGCCTGCACTGGGGGGAGGGAGGACGATGCTGCCCCGAGGGGCAATCGGGACACTTAATCACGAGCCAGGGTGCTCCCCTTTCGGGAAGGGAGAGCTTCGGGCCCCTTAGGGGGAGCTGGGGCTCTTGGGAGAGCTTGGGACCTTCCATACTTGGTGGAAGTCAAAATTGGCCAGGCGTCGGTCCCCGATGAGTTGCTTAACTCGCCAAGTGGCTAGCGTTGGACTCGACGTGTTTCTCCCATTGAGTTGCAGTCGTGTTGTCAGACTGAGCTGTACACTGGGCCAGGTCAATACATGTGTCCCCGAGCTACGAGGTGGGGCTAAATCGCCCTTCATCATCGTTCAGGCTGTTCAGGTGCAGCTCAACTCATAATGCTACATGAGTTAGGCACAAGTGATTCTCAAAAAATCAACTGTTTGGTTGTTCAAAAAGAAATTAAGGCTCAATTTGAAAGGAATACAGCTACAAATTATACTGAATATATTTGTACTTGTATTCTTTTCAAACTTAGCCTCAATGATAATAATCAGCAATGCTTTATTCTCCGACTTCAACTGTTTGATGGTTACATGGCTCAATTGTCAATACGCTCAATATTGATTTGAGTGGTATGCAAGGTTGAAAGTATCAATGCACCCTGATGCATCAAAAGTGGTGTATCTATGCTTTGAACCTTACAGATAAGGGTAAATATCAATAAAGATAATATTTTTATAAAATAATGAAAATAAAGTAAATTTTTTTTTTTTAAATATCAACAAAGGACAACAATACTGTTCATCGTCTTCCTCCCTTCATTCTTTTTCTCTCTCGTGCGTGGGAAAAAAGGACGCAGCCTTTTACAGCCACTGAAAGCATACTGGTTTCTGTACCGAATGCGCCTTTTACAGTCAATGAGATTGGATTTGAAAACCGCTTTGGTCGGTGAGATTGGATTTGAAAACGTAGAAAGGGGAAAAAGGACGCACCTTTTACAGTCGCGGGAACGGCGGTTCTTGTGTTGAGCATCCTGATTTTGGGAGGATGAATACATACGCAGAGGAACAGTGCAAAGCTACGCGCTGTTCATTGTCTCCTGGTCTCCTGGTAGAGATCGTAGAGGTAACTTGGCCAAGAAGAATCATACGACCAAGTTCCCAAGTTCCCATCATACGGTGGTTCCTCTGCGTATGAACAGTGCATAACTTTGGACAAGACTAAACCAGGAGACTATGAACACACACGGCAGTTGTGTGGATAAGACTAAACCAGAGAAGAATCATACGACCAGAGGAAGACGATGAATACATATGGCGGTTCCCCTGGTAGAGATCGTAGAGGTAGGGAGGATGAATACATATGCAGAGGATGACGATTAACAGCGTCATTGTCCTTCTTTGATATTGTTCAGAAAAGGATACCTTATTTTTATTATTTTATAAAAATATTATCTTATTCAGGACAAAAACCTAAAGTTATGTTAGGACCAGCGGTTTAGCATTGTTTAACTTTTAAAACCTAAAGTTTAGAAAACAGTCTGCTGATACAATACAATACACCCAATGAGGCATATAGTATTGAAATTTTTGTAACTGAAGATCATTATCAACATTTCTCAAAATCTGGAATTGTTAACATTCGCCCTACTGTGAATATAGCAACCACTGCTTCCATTCTATGTAATCACGTATTATATTTTACAAAATCCTCATAATCATCGCTAATTCTGACTATTTCTATTTCTCTTTTGTTCCTTTTTTTTGGTTATTCCATTTTATTTGTATACCTTCTTCTTCTTTGAACAAATATAAATACTATAGTGATGTGAGAAGAGCAGAGAACCTAGCATAGAGCTACATGGAAGAATGGTAGTGCATTCGCCGAACCTTCCATCCACAAAGATAACTCTTATGTTGGCGTGTTTGCTTTTTGTGCTGCTGTTGTTGTTGCTGCTGCTGCCCATTAACTGTTTTATTCTGTTTTGTGTGTACAGATTGTTGTTCTAATGGTTGATTAATTTGTTGGAAAGTTGGTTGAGCAGAGGTCAACAAGGCAGTATCAATGCCACTCCTCTTGTCAAGCCAGTCTATAATGTCAGCAAAAACAATATCTATGTTATCGTCTGGCTCCCCGGATGTCAAGCCATGCCACATTCCTGGGTACAACTTCATGGTCTTGTCTGTACTCCCTGCTTGTTCATACAGTGCTCGGCTCACTTCTGGATCTGTCACTGTGTCTGCCTCCCCGTGTAGCACAAAAAATGGCATTGTCACCTGTTGATACAGCACCCTTACCATGATGAGAGAGCAACAAAAGAGTAAAACATAAAGCCTACAGGCAGGCATCATTTTTGCCTAGTTCTAAAGAGAAATGACAGATTGTACTTGGAACTAAACCTGTTCATGGGCTGGGTTTTGGGTCTGATTTATACTGTGTCAGGTTTGGGCTTTGGACCAGGCCCTATTTAAATTTTGGCAAAAAGTAAGTCCGAACCTGACCCATTAACAGATCTACTCTAAGGTTGCCTTGGATAAGCTTCAATATTTTTGCTTTTAAGGCCTAAAAGCATAAAACCCCTATTTTAGACAACTTTGGTTTTATTGCTTTGAGGCCTAAAATTGTTTTGGCTTTAGATTAGGTTCCATTTGGAAGGAGTACAAATACAAATATATAAAATGCAAAACATTATATTTTATACTATTTTGTATGAATTTATACTGTACACATTTGTATTCGTACTCCTTCCAAACTGAGCTTTATGTTTTTAATAATTTGGACTAGCTGAACCCTTTGGCTGTGTAGTAGGGTGTGGAGCAAATGATAATGCCCCATGTTGGTTATAAAATAATAATGGAGCCTAGGGTGAGAAGTTAAATGGTTGTGGCCCTATGCATTTTATGACCAAATCACATTTACTACAACAGTGTAGCTTGATGTGTTGCCATGGCCGCACCTTGAATTAGATGAAGTTATTTCTTGGTGGGCCAGTGTACTACACCTAAATTCATGATTTTTTGTTTTATCTTCGCGCTATGACAGTGTTCTAGCAAAAGTCAACTCTTATGAATAGTGTATATTTAGAGTTCCACTGCCTACTGACCAGCTATTCAATGTTTTAAAAATCGATTACTGAGTTGATGGTTTAACTGTTATTGATCAATTCAATAATAGGATAAAATGCCGAACAGTCCGACCATCCCAATCAACTGCGGTTCGTCCAGCAGCTAATGCGTATTAGTGGGCCGGGGGAATGTACGTCAAGGACCAGAATCAAGCTAGCTGGGTATTTCGTTTGAGCTGCGCTAAGATTCGGAAGTAAAAGAGAAGACTAACCTCGCTTAGGCTGTCCTCCAAGCTCATACTAGTTCTGAGCAATTCCAGCGCTGTTTTTAGTCTAGGTTTGTCTTGATATATCAACCTGTTGGTTCGGATCTGCATGACAAAGCATGGCTATGACCATAGATATCACTAAAATGTTCTCTTCTCAAAATATTAATAAGGGTCCGATTATGATATGACATGATATTCGAAAAAATTGTGATCAATCAATAGTATCATAAACATATTAATCAATCGGGTGGAACTGGAACTTATCAAAATTCATGGGTGATTTTTTATTGATCAAAACTCTTGGAATACCATGTCTTTTAAGGCACCATAGGTTTTTCTCAAAAATAAATAAATAAATAATAATGAAAAAGAGATAAAGAGAGAGAGATGACCTCTTCTCGCTTGATGGGGTCTTTGAAGGCAGAATCAATGACGTCTTTTGTGGGGACTATCTTCCATTTGGGTATGATCTCTTCCATTTTGGTCAAGAGGTTCACAACCACCGGGTGGGGCTTCACCTTCTCTGATATCTGCACACCAAAGCGCTCTTTTATCACTAACCCCTTTTAACATTTTCACCCACCAAATGGAGATGTAAGCAAACTGGAGTGGCAGAGCTTTGGTCCCCGCTCTAGTTTATGGGCTCGACTCAAGGGTGAGTCGGTGACATCATTTCTTGTTCTTTCCTCTTATTCATAACTGACTGGCTTCACCAAGGAGTGGCTCTAGTTTATCACTAACCCCTTCCCCTTGAATCCTGGCTTCACCAAATGACTCATTCATAACTGACCTTAATAAGTGTCACTCCAATAGGTTGGATTAGGTGGACCCGAATTTGAATTGATCCATCCGATACCACCTTACTGACACGCTAACCTACCAAGATTATTATTATGTTCTACCATTGAATACCAATTGCCAACTATCTATTTATGTTGCACATTGGAAGAGATTGAGGGGGGATTCTGATTCAAAGCTTAGCGTCGAGTGCCTCATCAGAAGTGGATGTTATTGAATTGGTTTCAATAGTGGAGAGAAGGAAATTCAGGTTTCGATGGTGGTTGAAAGTTAGGTAAGGTACATTGAATTGGTTATTGGTTTGTTAACAGGGCGAGTGAGGTTTCTATTGGTGAATGGAACCATGGATCAGGAGTACAACCTGGGTCGGGTTCAATGGGCCAGCGCCAGACGACTGTCGAAATGCTTCAAATCAGGCCTTTGGTAAGAGTACAAATACAAATATGTATTGTGCAAACTGAGCCTTTCGTAGGAGTACAAATACAAATATATATTGTGTAAATGCATACAAAATACAAGGTTTTATACTCTACAAATTTATATTTGTACTCCGTCCAAACTGAGCTTTAGCAACAAATTATGAGACTAATTTCAAATGGAATAGTTTCTTATAAAAGTTTTAGGATCTGTTTAGTTCACAGTCATAATCAGAATCAGGATCAACTGGCATGATTCTCATTCCCAAAAGAGAGGGAGGGAATGGGCATTCCTATTCCTTCAAATAGAAGAATGCTACTCTATCAAATGGTTAGAATCGGAATAGATCATTCCAATTCCTAAGTCCAGTCCCCTATTTCTACAAACCAAAGTACCAAACAAACCCTTAGGCGTCTCTCAGGATCAAGATTTAAATCCTAATGGAGTTGGATAAGGGAGGCGCAAGAATTCAAGCAGATGTTCCTTGATTGATTCAAATTCAATGAATAGCGACTAGAGAATTAACGTTAGGGTACCTTACACATGGGGGCAACAAGGAGGGCACCATTCCAGAAAGTAGGATCCCTTTTGTGGAGCAGCAGCGTGACGGCACCTCCCATGGACTCTCCATACAAGAACCTTTTCTTGTCTCCGTACTCCCTTTGATCTGTGGAGGGTGGAGAATGGACCACCCATCAACAAAACAACAATGAATTAGGGTCTCAGGGATGGGATGGGTGTGTTGAGGAGGAGAGTTGTTTGTAATAATACCACAAACAGATCTGAAGAAGGCGTAGCAGTCGTTCACCACATTGTCGAACTTCTTAATGTAACATCGGGCTCCCATGGACCGTCCGTGCCCTTCGTAATCCATCCCTATCACTGCATATCCTGCGCCCGCTAGTCTCGTTCCACATCCTATATTCACACATTATTTCAACCATTGCTTTAGGGCTTAGGCTTTGGATTAGGGCTGTAGTTCTTAACTCCAACAACATGAGAAAAATCTATAATTGTCAATATTTCATACACCCAACAATACCACAAACCAACTACTTTCTTTATACTTGGCGATGTTTTGTTTTTTGCATTTTAATGTTTATTATCATAATAACTTTTTTCTATATATATATTTTTCAACTTTTTTAATAATAGATGAAATCCAAAATTGTATCCATATTTTCCTTCATTTAGCATATTTATTGGAAATTAGAACTTTGTAAATCTTTCCAAAATTTAATTAATGTCACAAGATAAAGAGAAAAAAAAATTATTTGCTTCATTTACAAAAAAAAAAAAAGCAAAACGAAGAGATAACAAGTCTGCCTAACCTAAACATAAATAGAAAAAGAAGAAAGGCCGATTGGGAGGTGAACGACATGTTATTTCAGACTTCAATTGGGTTGTCTACACCATGGTTTTTAAAAATGACCCAGAGACTGAATCGGTCAGGGGTCTGGTTATCGGGTCGAACGGTCTAACCGTTTGAACCGAATGGTTGGCCCGTTCTAACAAAAAAATAATAATAAAAAAAAATGATTAAAACCATTCAAACGATCAACCACCTGGGTCAACGGTTTTAGACAAATTTTCGATTTGGGGGAAAACCAAAACCGGAACCGATTATCTAACCAATTTCCGGTTTTTCCGGTCCAACCATCCGATCAAGTCCAATTTTGAAAACCATGGTCTACACCATGGGCAATCAGAAGCAAAATTTCCCGTTCAAACGAAAAAGCTTGTTAGACACACGCCCACCAACTTCCCTTTCATTGTTAGATAACGATTAAGAATTTAAGATGGGAAAAAACTATCAAATAGCGTGCCCCACAACACATCCCAACCATGCATTTGACATTAGTCCTTCACAAATACAAGAGAGATGTGTGGAGTATGCTCCGTGGGGAGCCAATCCGGACTCGAAAAATAAATAATCATCACCTGAATATACCCTTTAACCAGAAGAGCAAAAAGCTAATTGAGAATTTGTTCTCCTTCATTAGTAAAAGGGTATATATTATTGTACCTGCCATGGGATTTCAGTCAAATACCAAAACCCCCCTTCATAGTAATTATTAACTTATACCCACTTGACTACAAAATTAAGAGATTTGGTTAGCTGAATTTGATAGTTATTTTATGGGAAATGGGATCAATCATTTTGTTCCACAACAGCCACAAATGCAAGCGATGGAATGGTTGTGGGCCATATACATTGTAGAAAACAAAATCATCGGTCCCACTATCCGTAGAACAGCTACCAAGTTCAGCTAATATCTTCTTATAAATTACAGGGAATTTATTAACAGAAAAGACACAGAATTAAGATAGATAAAAGAATATTTATCAAAAGTGTTAATAATAAAATATCAGTTTCACCTCTAAAACTCATAATTTGGAATTAATAAAAGTAACCCATCAGATATGTTAGCCTGCCAAAAAAAACCAAACAACGAGCAGCATGACCCACTACGTCATACCAAATATTAGATTATAAAAATAGTATATAGCATTCATGGACCCACAAGTTAAAGATTTTTCACAAGCTGGGCCCACCATCCCTGACCGGCCCATACATTCCGAGTTAACATCTCCGCTCCACAACGCCTCACAGCCCATCCATGCTGTATATCGGAACATTTGGTACTATCATTGGGAGATGTTTTTAATACATGATGGAAACGGGTTTTACCCACTCTCAGTCCCCACTTCATCTCAAAAGTCAAAAAAAAAAACCAAAAATAACAAGAAAAATACCAATAATAGAGTTTCTTTTTGGGGGTCGAAATCAATAATTGGACATGGACGGGTTAAAGGACGGTGCTTGCATGCTCCATGTTAAATGTCCATTAATTATTAAATTATTAAACAAATAGAGAAATTACCAAAAAGGTATAATTTCAATTACATATAGCAAATAAAGACCATTCAGAAAACTCTTTGCAAGTTTGCATTATATTTTTTAACGTTTTTATATTATGCCACTAAGTCCTGAATCTAGTACAAATTATATTTTTGTAAAATAAAAGAAAGAATAATCATTTAAATTCTTTATCCCTGTTATAAAGTATGAAATTTAGTCTTTATATGTTGTTTCTTCAATTCTTCTCTCCATTTTAAGAGCAAAAAAGAATTATATGTTGTCCAAAACCCAATTAGGTAAATGATTAATTAAATAAGATAAGTGTAGAATATAAAAATAGAAAATTTACTTTTAAATTATTATAGAAACAAAATAAGAGAGAAATAAAACAAAAGACTTGTAAATTTTTGGTGAATACTAAACAAAAGACTTGTTAGTTTTTGTTAAAATTTTGAACCCTAACTCAGTTTTAAAAGAGTATGAATACAAATATATAGAATAGAAAGCATTGTATTTTGTATTATTTTTTACATATTTATATTTATACTCTTTTCAAACTCAGCCTTGATAGCAACCAATAATGGATGTCTGAAAAGCCACTTTATTACTAGTTAGATAGAAGTTGAACATTCATCTATTAAAAAAAAAACATATAGTAGGCTCAAGTTTCAGTCAGATGAAAACTTTTATAAAGATCAAATTTTATATTTCTGTGTTGTAAGTGAAAATTTACAAGTTCCCTTAAAGTAGTTTTTCCTAAAGAAAAAATAAATAATAAAAAAAAAACTAAACCAAAGCCAGAGCGCCAAGAGAATGAAAGATGGGGTATGGTTGAAAAAATTATCCAACCAAGTAGCGTATCACACAGAACAGCCATTTCCGTTACTATTAAGAAACTTTGCGCATTTGGGATGAAGAGACCCAGAAATGACAGAGAAACTCGGAAAAGAAAGGAAAATTCAGATCAAACCCATGAATCTACAAACATGGACAAGACTCATTCATTGTTTTTACGGATTTAGTTCCACCTGGCAAAAAAGTTTCAATCCAAGCAGTAAAACACATCAACGAGATTCACTATACTGGCTTTGCTCATCAAATGATAGCTTAAAAGTTCAAAAGAAAGGAGGTTGAAAAAACAGGCTCATTCATTGTTTATACGGATTCATTAATTACCTCTCATGAAATCACTGCATTCCATCCCGTACCCTGCAAAACCCCATTAATGAATGAATAACCTCACGGGTTTAACGAAAGACCAAAAAAAAAACATAAGAAAAAGAGATGACCAGAGGATAGAGAGACACCATGGCAGAGGAAAACAAGAGCCTTCGGCGACGAAGGAGGTAACCATCTGCAAGTAAAGAGTCGCACTCCTCTGGAGTTTCTGATGTAGTCCTTTTAAGTTCCCCGACACAGATATGAGATGACCCATCAGCATACATCGATATGATTAGATAGATAAAGCACAGAGAAAAAGAATTGCTCGGACATAGTGGGTTGTGGGGCAGGTTAGCAGGAGCTCACCTCTTGATACTCCACCTCCATTTATGTACCTATAATTTATATGAACAAAGTTTGCAAACCAGACTCAATTAAGCATCAAATGAACGGCCGGAGAATTAACCCTGCATCCATGAATATAATGAAAACCCAACAAGTCGCATGAATAATATTGTTAGCAATTGATGAAGAGATCAAGAGAGTTTAGAACCTACAAAATTATTTGGAAAATATCGACACAAAGATGCGCAGCGAAACAGATTGATCTTGTTGGTTTGTTTGATCCGAAGAGCTGCGTCGATCTGCAGCAGAGCCATTGACCCAGTAAGAAATTATTTCATGAAGACAAAACAGGAACCAGAAGAGAGAGAGAGGGGGGGGGGGGGGGGGGGGGGGGGGGGGGGGGGAATAGATGAAGAAGAAAAAGAAATCAGAGAAAAAAAAATTGGTTCGTATAGACTGAAAAGTGAAACCTACGGTGGAACGGTAAACGCGAGCGAGAGAGCGAGCAAAAGGAGGAGGGATGATAGACGAAAGATGGAGTCTCGTCTCGTGGGAGAAGACATGTATTTATTTGTTTGTTTGATTGATGGGAAGAATTAAAAAAACAAAGATGATTTTACAGAAAAAAAAGGAGATGCTAATGCGGGTGCATGTGGCAGATGGTCCCTCCATCTGGATATTAAGATAGAGATGATGATGATGCATTGCTACTACTCTCTGTTAGGAGCTAGGTCGTATTCTACGCGTTCCTTTCATCCACCATCAAGTATTCTATGATGAGTCATGGATGGGATATGGGGCTGTTATCAATGGACCCATATTAAATTAAGGAAAATTCATTCAATAGAGCTGAAACAGAGTTTATACAGGAGGTGTCTGTTACTGGTCTAGTTCAAAGATAAAAAAATCAGCAAGCCAAACTGGGGATTATCAATCCAAGTCCCTTTCGGAGTTTTTATGCCAGCCAAAAAATGGGCCACTGAAATTTCCGATCTATTAATTAAATTCCACCCTACTGAATCAAAAAATTTCACTCCTTGCAAAATATCATCAACTAAAAACCGCACTTCAGAAGAGATGTGTTCAAAATTAGGGTCCGTTTGGTTCGTAATTGGAATTGGAATCGAAATAGGAATCAGAATGGGAATCCCTTAGAATTGAAATCGGAATTGTCTATTCTCCTTACCTGTTTGGTTCAAACAAGAATCAGAATCGAATTTCTATTGATGCTGTTTGGTCATTAAGAGGCTGAAATCGGAATCAGCCATGATTTCCAATTTTGCTCCTAATAAAAATAAAAAAAAATCAAAAAATGCATGAAAACACTAAAAAATGCAGAAATCATAATAATTTTGTAGCAAATTCAGAAAAATGCATGAAAATTTTGTAGCAAATTCAGAAATTTTGCTTGTAGCTATCCACCGCTTCTTCAAAATCAAATGTCTCCTTCGTCTCATTGTTAATCCACCCATACTCGCTCATGAACAGATTGACTAGGGTTTTTGGAGGGTAATTAGCAATAAAATCCTTCCACACGTTTTCACCCTCCAAATCCCTAACAACCTCAAGAAGGCAGTTGTTGCACTTGAAACCTCCCCCGAAGCTGATCATCATCACCCTGTCACCTCTTCTCAACCTCTTCTTGGCCTCCTTGTTGGTTCCAAGTCGTACTCCGTCAGCCCCAAACTCTTTCCCACCCCGTCGATAACCGCCTTTCCACCAGTGTGAAGGCAAAAATGGTAGATCCTAGTCTTGAAATTCACTCCTGCTTTGACACCGCCGCTCTTGCTGGCAGACGCGCTGTCCTTCTTGGGCCGAGGAAGGAGGTGTGTTACTATAACATATTGAAGCAGCTCCCTTAGGTGCTAATACTCTGAGGTTCTCGACGAAGGCACGAGTGGCAGATTTGGGGAGGTTCTTGCCAAGGTGAAACCCTGGTCTACCCACAACATCTTCCTTCTGAATTGCACATCCAAAAAGGAAAAAAGGAAACTAATAGTAGAATGGGAATCATATTCCAGGGGAGGGGGTCGGGGGTCAGGAATGGCATTCTGCCTATTCATTCCCATTCCGGTTGACCAAACATCCAGAAATGGAACTCGAACCAAACAGACCCTTAGACTGAAGGGCTGTCAAAAGGATCGAGCTATCACTATTAATAGTAATAGACCGAAGTCCCAAACTGCTTGCAGTCTAAGGCCTAATAGAACCACATAAGCTTCTGAGAAAATTGCAGATCTTGGAACATCAACTGTGGCTTGAGCTGCTACAAATTCTCCTCTACCATTTGAGATGAAAATACCATAGCTGACATAGTTGTTCTTCAAAAAACTGCCATTAGTCCAAACTCCCTCGGTGGGGTCGGGTAGCTAACTACTGATTTAGGGTGCTCTTCAGATTCAGGTTTCTTGAATTCATCAGAATCCTGTGAGCATGAGAGAGAACACCTTGCCCATTATTGACTTGATTTTCAAAAAAGATTTTATTTCTTCTTAACCAAATGCACCAACAAACAGCTATAAAATATGGGCAGGTGTTTTTTACTTTAGTTTTCTCTCTTGCAAACCTGCTAGTCCAGACACCAAGCCAATCACCACGAGATTGGAGGGACCCAGAATCAGACCTCAGGCTCAAAGAAGATGCAAACCAAATTGGTCTAATATCTTCACAGTACAAGAGAGCATGGGATATTGACTCTACCTCCTTACCACAGCCAGGGCAAGTACTATCAACAGCAAGCCCTCTGCTAACTAGTCTTTCTAACACTGGAAGATTGTTATGTAAAGCTCTCCAAAAAAAAAAAAAAAACATGTTTATCTTAGGTGGAAGCTCAAGGCACCAAAGGACCTCCCAGTAGTTACTTTGATCATTAGTATGATTCGAAGAGCTAGCAGAACACCCATCCATTTTGGCCTTCTAAGATCTATAGGAAGATTTCACTAAAAAGACCCCTTTCCTATCATGAACCCAGCACCATTTGTCTTCCTTGCAGGAGAAGGGGATATAGATTTTCTGGATTTCATTGGCAATATTTGGAGGGAAAAGGGATCTAAGGAGACTAGAGTTCCAAGACCGATCCCTATGGTTAATCAACTCTGAAACCTTTCTTATTGGACAATCCACCGGCTTGTCATAGGGAATTTTAAAGTTGCATAGGTTGGGAAGCCAAGGATCCTTCCAAATATCCACCTCTCCACTAGCTATCTTACAGACACAACCTTCCTTTAAAACCTCTCTACCAGCACACACACTTCTCCATCCCTAAGAGTTGCGGTGGGGGGTATTGGCTCTTAGAAACTGCTCCTTACCAAAGTAACGATCTTTGTAAATTTGAGCAAGTAAGTTTGTAGGATTAGTTAGAATCCTCCAGGCTTATTTTGCTAATAAAGCTAGGTTGAAAATGTGTAGGTCCCTAAAGCCTAAGCCACCCTCCTTATTTCTACAAAGGATTGTCCATTTAAGTCAGTTTATCTTCCTTTGAAGGTTTGAAGCACTCCACCAGAACTGCCTCTGCAATTTTGAAATGGTTTTACAAACACTCTTGGGAATTATGAAACGAGACATTGTGTAGACAGGTAAAGCAAAAATTATTGACTTTATAAGAATTTCTTTTCCTGCCTGGGTTAGGAATTTCTCCCAACCTTGCACTTTATGACCAATTCTTTCAATGATGAACTCGAATGATTTGTTCTTTGATCTGTGTAGTTTTGTTGGAAGCCCTAGATAAATGCTAGGCTTCTCCACTTTTTTCATTCCCATACTCCTAGCAATCAATATTTGAAATCTCAATGGAGTGTTCTTATTAAAAAAAAAAATTCAGACTTCTGGAAATTCACTTTTTGACTTGTAGCTTTCTCATAGTTATTTAGAATTCTCAGAATTTCTTCCCCTTCTTGAAAGTTTGCTTTTGCAAAGACATAACCGTCATCGGCAAATAAAAGGTGAGTAACTATGGGTGCATTTTTGTAGCTTTTGATTCTTGAAATTTTCTTTTCTTCTAGACTAGCAAAGATACTAGCAAAGAAAGCTTCAGAGRTCAATAAGAAYAAGTAAGGAGAAAGTGGGTCTCCTTGACGGAGACCCCTACTAGGAGTTATCATGCTGCCTAGAGAGCCATTTACAATGATTCTATAGGTGAGTGTGGACACACATTGAAGATTTTTGCAGATTTTGATTCTTGAAATTTTCTTTTCTTCTAGACTAGCAAAGATACTAGCAAAGAAAGCTTCAGAGGTCAATAAGAACAAGTAAGGAGAAAGTGGGTCTCCTTGACGGAGACCCCTACTAGGAGTTATCATGCTGCCTGGAGAGACATTTACAATGATTCTATAGGTGACTGTGGACACACATTGAAGAATCCATCTTCTCCATCTCAGACCAAAGCCCATTTTTTCCTAGATTTTTTCAAGAAAGTCCCACTCCATCCTATCATAAGCCTTCACCATGTCAAGTTTAAGAGCCATATACCTCTGTTTTGCCTTGGTGGATTTCATTGTATGCATGCATTCATGAGCTATAAGAATATTGTTTGAAACGGATCTCCCTGAAATGAAAGCACTCTGCATTGGACTTACCAAAACATCCATTACCCCTTTCAACCTGCTAGGTAAAACTTTTGCAATTAATTTATAGGGGGTGTTGCAAAGGCTTATCGGTCTAAATTGAGTAATACTCTCTAGGTGGTCAACTTTGGAATTAGAGCAATGAAGGTGCTATTTAGATCTATGTTCATTTTTCCAGTGTCAAAAAATTCTTTCATAGCCTCCATGACACTCTGTCCCACAATACTCCAATACTTTTGGAAGAAGACATTTGGTAGCCCATCAGGGCCGGGAGCTTTTGAGGGTGCCATTTGCTTAAGAGCTTTAAGAATTTCATCCTCTGTGATTGGAGCTTCTAAGGCCTTTGCTTGCTCGTCTGAAATTTTATTTTTGATTAGACTAAGAAGCTCTTCTTGAAGTTGGCTGCCTTCACTAGTATAGAAAGTACAAAAAAACTCGGTTATGTGACTAGAGAGGCCCTATCGATTTGTGATCCAGTGCCCTTAATTATCCCTTAGGCCTTTAATTTTATTTCTAAGTCTTTTAGTAATGGTGAATGCATGAAAGAACTTTGTGTTCTTGTCTCTCCACTTGATCCAATAAACCCTAGACTTCTGGTGCCAATGAATTTCTTCAATTTTGAGGTGATGGTCCAAGTCATTTTCAAGTTTCTGAATCAGGTTACTATTTGTGGAAGTGGCTGGGTCATTTTGGGCTCTTTCTAGCAAGTCCATTGCATTTCTGACATTTTGATGAATATTTCCAAAACAAGTTTTGTTCAAATTTCTCATAACAAGTTTCAAATAACCAATCACATATGCTAAATCTTGCATATGGGAACTTGAGTTTCTACTAACCCAAGCTTCTTTAATTGTTCTCTCACAGTCATCATGCTCCATCCAAGCTTCCTCAAATCTAAATGGACAAGGATCCCAACTTTGAGGGGGGATAGTGTCAATCAGAATAAGAGAATGATCCGATTTTGATCGACAGAGGTGGGAAACTGTACAATTTTCATGATGAGTAACCCAATCACCATTGGCATATGCTCTATCCAGCCTCTCCTCTATGAGGTTTCCATTCCTCTTCCCTTGCCACGTGAAAGGATAACTAGAAAAATTTAAATCAATTAATCTACAATAATCAATGAGGTTCTTTCCTTCTCTCAATTTTCTCCTATTGTAACCCCCGCCGCCTCTCTTATCATTATTAGAGGTAATGAAGTTCCAATCTCTTAGGCAAAGCCAAGGAGAGTGCATGGAGTCAGCAATCCGTTTCATTTGATAAAAAAAGACAGCTCATCTAGGTTCATCAAGGCCCCCATAAATGTAAGAAATAAAGCATCCCTCATCATCTTCTTTGAGAAGGACATGAATACCATAAGAATTTCCCGCAATTATTTGGAGGTCGATTTTACTTCTCCACGCCAGAAACAAACCACCTCCTCTACCTTGGAGATTTATCCCAGTACAATTCCATCCCTTTAGAAACTTTAAACACTTTTTATTTTCATCCACCAAAGTCTTTGTTTCCATTAGAAAGAAAACATGGGGATTATGAGAACGGATAAGATTCCGTAAGAGACAAACTATGCGAGGATCCCCAATCCCTCGACAGTTTCAAGTCAAATGCTTCATTGAGCCCGAGGGGGCTGTTGAGGGACAACCACCCAACCCGATGAATCTTGTGATGTAATGCAAATATTTAGCACTTCTTGCTCTCTACCTTCCACCAATTTTGGCACTGTTTTCTTTTGCCACTCATGAGGTTGAAGAGAAACATTTTTCTCCTTGTGCCAGGATTGAGTATATTGTTTCATACTCAATTTTGGGAACCCATAGGGATGGAACCATCTAGGAGAAATTTTCCCCTTACCATACTTCTTTATTGTATTTTGAATTAAAACACCTTTAGAGTGTGAAGATTGCCTGAAGGATTTTACAGTAACAACAATAGTAATTAGATGATGTGATTTAGAGTTCAGAAATACCTGGTATGATCTTGCTCCATGAGGTTCATTCACTCGAGTAGATTTCTCAATATCCATACTCTTGGTTTTCTTTGGCAGAGGTATAAAAATTTTTCTCTCTTCAGTGTTGAAATTCAGAGGTCTCTTCAAACGAGTTAAGTGTTTGGGCTTAGTTTTAAACTTCTCATATGTGCCAGCATGTGGTGATGACCCATCTATTTTCATTGGGCTTGGGCTATCTCCAAAAAGAAGAGGTAATAGCTTGTTAAGGCCCACCACGTCTGCAGTAGTTTCCTCCCTCTTTCTATTTAAATCCCCATCTTGCCCTTTATCCTCTATCATTTTCTTCTACACATTGTTAGCCCCTGACCCATCAATGCCAGTACTTTGAGCATCTATATTTAGTTGTTTGCTTGAAGCCCCTCCATGTTGATTTCTTTTTCCGTCCAAAACCTCCTTCCCTTTTCCCAACTTGTCTCCTAGATTTCCTTTCTCAACAAATTTTCCTGCTTGATCTTTCTCCTC